TGGGGGATCCTCTGCTATTGGTTCATAGTTCATGTGTTTCCACTAGCTATTTGTCCCTGTGCTTTTTCCAATCAAGGTCTCAACAATTCTAACTCATACAATCCCTCCTCTTTCTCATTGATTGGTCTCCTGGAGCTCCACCTGGGGCTTGGCTGAGGATCTCTGCATCTGCTTCCATCAGTCATTGGATGAGAGTTCTACCAGGACAGTTAGGGTGTCTGGCCATACAATCACCAGAGTAGGTAAGTTTGGGCTTTCTCTAGACCATTGCCAGTAGTAGTCTATTGTAGAGGTATCTTTGTGGATTTCTGGGGTCCTCTTTAGGACTTTGCTTCTTCCTATTCCCATGGGTTCTTCATTTATCACGGTCTCTCTTTCCTTGTTCTCCCTCTCTGTTCTTGATCCAGCTGGGATCTTCTGCTCCCATAAGCTCCTTTTCCCTCGACCCTTGCCCTTTATTAACCCACCATCCCTGCCATGTCCACTTTTCTCATGTAGATCTCATCCATTTCTCTGTTGTTGGGCGATCCCTGTGTCTTTCTTAGGATCCTCTTTACTAGGTGACCTCACTGGAGTTGTGAGTAGCAGTCTAGTCATCTTTGTTTTACATCTAGTATCCACCTATGAGTGAGTACATACCATGTTTGTCTTTCTGAGTCTGGGTTACCTCACTCAGGATGGTTTTTTCCTAGATCCATCCATTTGCCTACAACACTTTACAAAACAGGCGAGTAGTACTAGCCCCTTTAAACATAACATTTACATAACCAAAATCACTATGTTTCCATGTACAGTGTAAAACACCCTGAAAGCTAACCAATCCTAGCTCCTCCAAGTCACAAGCCATTATGAACCCATAAATGAGGTGAAAATGACACTGATATTAGACAGTCACTATGATGCTGTAGTTCATAGTTGAGATGCTAACAGCATTTAAGTTGGAATGGACATTTGTTTATAAACAGGCATTCAATCAAAATCAACCTTCACAAAATCCAGAAGGATTCTGAACAATGAACTAGGAATACCAAAATGGTAAGAATGCTGAGATGATGTACATATAAAATTCATGTATTTCGGTAAGAAAAGTCCAATAAATCTATAGGAGATTTTTTTTAGCAGAATAGTATCAAATACAGAACCATGAGAATTCCATGTTTCCGTCTCCATTTCCCTGTGTGCTGCCTGGTTTTGTGTGTCAGCTTGACACAGTTAGAGTCATCAGAGGAAGGAACCTCAGTTGAGGGAATGCCTCCATGAAATCCAACTGTCAGTCATTTTCTCAATTAGTGATCAATGGGAAAATTCTCACCCTTGGTAAGTTGTGCCTTCACTGGGCTGCTGGTCCTGGGGTCTATAAGTAGGTGGGCTGAGCAAGCCATGGTAGCAAGCCAGTAAGCAGTACCACCCCATGATGTCTGCATCACCTCCTCCCTACAGTAACCTGTGCTGTTTGATTACCTGTCCCAACTTCCTTTAATAATGAACAGCAATTCTGAAGAGTAAATCAAATAAACCCTTTCCTACCCAACTTACCTTTTGGTCATGGTGTTTTTCACAGCAATAGAAACCCTAACTAAGACCAATTAGTACCAGTGAATTGGGTTATTGCTGTGACAGACCTGACCATGATTTTGGGAGGATTGTGGGAGTACACTGGAACTTTGGACTAGAAGAGCCATTGAGTGTTGAGAGACCTCAATGGTGGGATGTTCTTTGGGAATGTGGAAGATAAGAATATTGAGAGAAGTGCAGAAAATGGAGGCCTGGTTGGCTTGTAAATTATCAGAGGGATATTTAAAGATAATATGAGGGCCATTTTCTATTTTTGAATTAAGAACATGTGATTCTGGTTATCTGGGGCTGAAAAATCAACTGTGGTCAACAAGATACCAGAACTACTAAAGCAATCATGTAGTTCTGGTTAGCCTGTTCTGAAGAATCATTGGTGATTAACAAGATACAAGAGTTACTAATGCAATCCTGTGGTTGGGGTCAGCTAGAGCTGAAGAATCAGTGGTAATTTACCAGATACCAGATTTACTGAAGTAAAACCTTTAGCATACTGGAAAAATTGAAGCTGGTCAGCTGGAGTTGAGATACTAGCAGAGATTAAGAAGAGAGCAGCATCACTGAGGTGAAATCTACCTGGAACTATTTCCTGAGATCACAGAGAGGCTGTGATCTAGAGGCAACCAAGGTTGGACATGGTGAGGCAGCCTGACTTGGTAATGTGTATAAGTCTCCCAGTTGGTACTGGTTCTGAAAGCATGAAGGGGTCATAAATATTAGCTGAGGGTTGACATTATAACCAGAAAGGAGAGGCCTTTTGTTATGGTGCACCCTTATTGGCATTTGAAGCCTCAGGACTGAAGGGGTCTTGCAAAGAATTTGAAGCTTGGCATGATGAGGAGAGTCCATGAGAGGATATTGGTGAAAGTGAAGCCCATTTGAGCAGAGGACCCCTGTGGCGTTGAGATGCCAGTACAATGGAATGACCACCAAGAACAACAGTAGATGTGGAGAGGAGTGAGTCAGAGCCTAGAACATGAGCTGTGTGTACTGCAGAGGTCAGAGCTAGAGAAGTGACCCCAGCCCTTTGGAGGATTACAGAACAATGTGAATGGATCCAAGATATTGGAGGGTTCCAATTTTCATTTTGCTTTGATTTGATCATGACTGTCTCCTGACTCTTCCCTATTGAATTTATTTTATTGGAGCCCATGGTTGAAAGACTTTGCATTTTAAAAGACTTTGGATTTTACGAGATTGCTTTTTTTAAGGGACTAAAATTTTATGTTTTGAATCTGTAAAGACTGTGAGATTTTTAAAGTTATTTAAGATGTTGGTGATGAAGAAGAGGGAAAGGATGTGGCTTTAAGGTGACATGTTTGTATGTCTACTTCGCAAGCATTCAGGTATATAGCTGGGTTTATGTGTCAACTTGACAGAAGTTAGAGTCATCAGATGAACAAGACCCAGCTGAGGAAACGCATCAATGAGATTCAAATCCAAGGCATTTTCTCAATTAGTGTCAATGGGGAAAGGACATCATGGTCGGTGGTGATATCCCTGGGCTACTGGTCCTGGGTTCAATGAGAAGCTGGGCTGAGCATGCCAGAAAAAGCAAGCCAGTAAACAGTTCCCCTTCATGGCTTCTACATCAGCTCCTGCCATATTTGAGTACCTGTCCTGACTTCCTTAGTGATGAACAGCATTAATGAAGTGTAAGCCAAATAAACATGTTTCTCTCTAATTTGCCTTTTGGTCATAGTATTTCATCAAAACAATAGGGAAAACCTAAGAAAGCCTGATAGTTTCCTCTGTGTTCATCTACAAGAACTGATAGATAAGGTGCTCAGTGTGGCCCTTCTGCTATATCCTCCCAGGAGCATCAACCTGCATCTTCCCTTGTGAGTCAATGCTTCCCAGGCATGACATGACCATTGGCCAGTTGAAGTCGCTGTAGCTCTGGTTATACACTGTAGATTTATTTTATATTATAGAGGGTCCTGATGCTACTCCTCTCCTCTCAGAAGTACAGGCAGTTAAAAGTTTCAGGCAAAGATTTTTTCAGAGATATAAACACTGAAATGTTTCAAATATTGCTTAGCATAGAGGACCACATTGGCATCAACAGTTGGGAGTTGAAACTGATTGGTGGATCTTGTCTAGTCTACATAGTGAGTTTTGGGACAGTCAGAACTACACTGTTATCCTTTCTCAACACACAAACAGAAACAAAATACAAGAACAAAGACATTTGACCACTTGCTTCTAAGGAACCCTAATAT